ATTTGACGTGGATACCTTCCTCAGCCCGTCTAAACTAAGGCAACAATAAACTAAACCCGAATTATGGCCACCCTTCGGCCCAGACGAGGATTAACAAAACACACCCATCCAGATATACATCATCTATCGGTAGCAACTTGACATGCGTGCCGGCTTTTTCGTGCGTCGGTTTTCCAGAGGACGTCACAACACAAGATACAATTGAATCGTTGGTATATAAAACTACAAATCTCAATAAAACGCATTCGCTATTTATTATAAACCACCCCGCGTTTTTCTTTTCCCTGACAAGGCGCCTAAACGCCCTCGATGATGCCGCTTACGAAGCCAACTTATCTAAGGTATATAAATCAGACAAAAAAATTTACGCCCAAAATTCTAGCGGTAGCAAATACACAGCGGCGTAATTCGCTTAGTACTCCCAAAGACGGAACGCCACAGAGACTATAGAGACCACGTGGGTAAGGTTGCTAAGTTATAGTTCTATATCCGCTGTCTGGCCTGTCTAGCAGGAACTGGTCGATTGCATTCTGTCAACGAGTTAGCGCATCATTGGTCCCGTAGACTTAAATTCTGAGTTTATCGAATCTTACCCAGTCGACCGTATGACTGCCGTTCAGCATGGTATCGAGTGGTATATTATTGGTGAAGTCTATAGAGAAGTCGATAGGTATAATAGGTTCGAACGGTGCAGGCGACGGAATGGGCGCTGTCTGGACGTCGTTATTGAGCAGACTAGCCAACGAGCCGTCCCGGACCTCGGGCTTCGGCGGCGGCGGTGGTGAGCGATTGATAGCCGGATCTTGCATCGACACTTTCCGAAGAATAGCGCCCACGACCCGCGTAGCATGCGCAGCATCCTTGGAGCTGTGCTTCCGCTCGGACCACATCTTGTAAGATGTACCTAGAGCTTTTAGTTTCCTTGATCGCTGACCGGGACTATGACACTATTAGCAGATGACTAGCAACGTTTTACCTGATCAGATCTTACCTGCTCGGTAGGTTTTCCGTGAGATCAAGGCATAAGATCATCGACGCGATCAAGAAGTCATGTAATGTTAAGGCCGAGAGCATGTATTTATCCTCGTATATCCGTCCGCCCGGCCTGCTCTCCTCTTCATACTCGGCATGTAGATCCAGGATCTTTAGAGCCGCGTCACAACAAGTATACCGCGACTTGTCGTATTTAGGGTTGTCTTTCTCACGGTTGAGATATGGCCTGTGTAGCACACAAAGGCTTTTAAGAAACATCATCTCTAGCATTAGACGATGCATTATGTCGTAGGTTTGGTCTGTGAAACTATAGGAACGTATTGGTCGGATCTGTAAAGGAGGAGGGACCTGAGCGTGATACTCGTGGATCTCTTCGTCTAGCTTGAGAACGTCCTCATATGGTGGGGGTTGGATCGATAGCGCGAAACGTATCACGCGGCGTAATAATCGACATAGCTTTGACTTGTAGCTCAAGTACAGAGTGGAGGTGGGCTCGGTAGCCGGCCGCGACGGAGGGAGCGCCATAACATTCTCGTCGAAATCCGAATCAAATAGATTGCTCGGCGACTCTGTATCACATTCATCGTCACGGATGATCGGAGGCATGCCTAACTGAAACGAGAAGAGGACGTCGAAGACCTCAATGAAGAAAAAAGCTCGCCTGCGAAGTTCACCCTCGAAAGGTGTGACGTTGGAGAGATACTTTGGATCCCTGTGATATCCCATGCGTTGCGCAAGCCGGGCAACAAGCCCGAACTTGGCCCATATACTAGAGTCGATCTCCCTATTCCTCTGTAATTCGGTATAGCTATGCAGAAGAAGAGCTTCGATGGAATAAGGTTTGGCGGACAAGTAGTCACCAGATACGAGACACTCCGTTGCTAATACCATCAGTCTATCGGGAAGGTTTGCTTCAGACTCATCGTTTTCGCCTTTCATGATGGAAATTGATGCGGCGACCCATAGCATAGACGCAAGACAACTTATCCACAGTAGACTAGCAGAAGATGGGTCGTCCCAGAATGCGTCGTACTCTCTTTGGAATTTCGTAGTGTGTATGTATGGCGCAGTCATGAATTTATGGCGGAAGTAGACTAATATGAGCGCGTCTGTCCTGTTCCTGGGTGGCAGTCGCGCAACAGCCTGCGAAAGCGTTATGGGTGCTAATTTGCCGAAAATAACGTCTGCACTGTCCGGACTCGCCATCTGTGGCGGCGGTGGTGAAGGGGTGGGAGGGCCATCCGCCTCGTTTTGGAGAATACCTTGGATATCGTGGATACTCTCAAGGATGGAGGCCCAGTGTGTGGCGCCGACATAATTATGCTCACCAGCCGTGGTGGGGAGAAGCGCTCCTGCCGAAGGGGCGACGCTTGGTGGTGAGCCTAACTCGGAACGAGTCTCAGTAGTCTCTGTTCGCTGGTCCGAACTTGAGGGGGTGTCAAGAGCAGGCTCTCGATTACGCGCACTATAGACTAGGCCGTTGACCATTTCCTCGAGCTTTTGAAGACGGACCTGCAGGACGGGACGAGACATGGGCTCATGTCTAGGCCGGGCATCCACTTGCGGCCGAGAATCCGTGCGGGCCTTGCGAGAAGCTCGAGGTGCATACTCGCAAAAGTTGGCCTCGCCACTTTTGACACATCTCTCACATGGCTGCTGCCGGTCGCATTTCACCCTGTAAGAGGATGATGAGTGAGAAATAGTAGATAGGGACCAGAGGCTACTCACTTGCGCGTCCGGCACAAAAGGCAAGACACGGGAGGACGGTTACGCTTTTGGATCTTTCGCTGGAGCCCGTCGGTCGGCTGGGCGCGAAAGACACTTGTCTGGTAACTGCCGGGCCGAGTGTCCATGGTGCCCGGGTAGGACGCAAGGCTCAGCAGCAGATGGGAATCTGGAGTACGAAATGTACGAAATGAATCGGTCGGAAATAACGTCAGGTCAAGCCTCGGTACGCTCAGCGCAATTAAACAAGCCAGAGAACGCTTCCCCTCAGCTTGCCAACGGATATTTCGTTGGATCACTCAAGGTGTTTTTGAGTAGGGAGTCTACATAAGTTAACAGTATACCCGATTGAGAAGTCCGGTGGCACGGGGGAAAAAAAGTAACTGGCAAATAAACTAGGAAGTGCTCCTGGTTGCTCAATTAACCCTGACCAAGACAAGACCTCTGACCTTAAGCTTGAGTTTGTTTCGGTGGTTGTCGGAAACATGCGTTCGTATATCCGGGAAGGATGGGAACACTGGGAAACTCCGTTGCGGTTGCCCGAAGTGGCCAAGCGTAACCAAAGCGAGGACACTATTCCATATTGAGGCTAGACGCTTCTGAGCCTGGGTTTAAAGAAAGCCCCTCGAGTCCTTTTATTTTCTTTCTCCTCGGGAGTTATTTTTATACCTACATATCATATACCTTACATATCTTAATAAGTACATATACTGTACACACATTCCATGTTGTATTCATGCTATACATGTAAGTACTATACAGCTACGAGATTTGGAATATCTATGCGTTTTGCCTCATGCGCTCACTCACCTATGCGATACTATCTTTATATTGTTGCCACGATATTATTTGCCATAAGAGCTGTGCTTGGCTACAGATCTAATTTACCTTGCAGAACCCCCATCGAATCCATGACTCCATCAATTTCCTAATGGAGTTATCTCTTACCTCCACCAGACGCCGGAGGGTGGGTTTGGGGAACGGGATAATAAATACTAACTGGCCATCGACCAGTTCGACCTTTCAGAATCCCCTTCACATCTTCAGAAAGTCGGAATATCCTCTTATTATTGGCAAGGGGGTTTAGATGATGTAAGGGCGACGAACTTGAATATATCTAGTCAAAGCTTCAGGATCAAGATCCAAACCTTCATCTCATTTTATTCCTTTCACTTAGATCACTAAGCACCAACCGACTTTTCCCCTTCCCCCTAGAACCCCCCTGTTATAGAATCTTACTAGGGTTAAGACGTAGGCCGAGTCTTATTCAGATGGCTAAGTCCGGAAACTGCGGCAGGATTTATAAAATCATACCCGGCAGTATTCATTCCGATTATGACAGTTTCCTGCTCACTACACCCGGTTCTCCAATCCGAATTTACCGGTCCCCGGCATCTCCGGTAATAATACGATTGGCCCGGGCATCTTCAACCGGTGTAGAGGTGACACGACGTGGTACTAATATGTTTTCACGATATCCCAACATGATTCCGATTCATACAACGGCCAAATATACAGTTTGAAAGCGCATTTCAACACATAGCCCTCATACTGCGGGGTGTTCGAGTTCGGAAGTCCGGCTATCACAAATCACGGGCGTATTTCAATGCCATTGTAGTCTCTCTTAACCACTCTGTCGAAATCACGAGATGCTACTCGCTATTAGCATAAGCCAGAAGAGAACTATGGCTATTAGTCTAAATAAGTACGGAAGGTAACCCATTCGGTTAACTTATTCAATTGTCGCGTCTGCTAGTATGAGTCCTCAATTCAGACACTCCTAAAATCTTATCATCACGGCAAAAGAACGATGTCCCTTTTATAGTGCTAAATAGACATGTACTCTTATAACTTCGTGTCTATTAATTTACACATAAATGTATATCATGAAACATCAGCTCAATCTGATACATATTGGCTGTAGTCTATACCAACCTCGTATTATACGCACAAGCGACCGTTCAAGTCAATATAAGCATAACAATGAGTAATTTCTGTGTCAAAGCTTCGCAGATGGAATGAAACTTGAGCATCCATATATCCGATCAAACTATAAAAAGGTTCGAACCTGGGTTCGGAAACCCGAGCCCTATAATAAAGATCAGCAGCGTCTTGTGCTCATGCTTACTTCAATATGCCCTCACTGCGCAACAACATATAGTCAAACGCTCTTTGGATACCGTTCCTACCTACGTAGCACAAAAAGAGATTCGACCATCCTAGTCGATGAATAGAAAGAAAAGAAAAACTTATTCCGAAGTCTTTCAAATGACAAGTTTCAGCGAGCTCAGCAGGGATCGAACCTGCAATCTTCAGAGTAGTGGCAAATGAACCGAAATCTGACGCCTTACCATTAGGCCATGAACCCTAATCCGATAGAAGACCACTCAGTTAAACTACACTGATATGACTGTGCTGAGTGGGTACTGGAAGATGGCTCCAGATTTGACTTGCTGGCTCCGCTGGGTGGATGTTGACGAACTTATAGCTCAATACCAAACCAAACTATCACATACGACCATAGGACCTAGAAAATTCGGGATCCCGTCCGCTCTCCTAGAGACAAGCTGGGTACCGCCGGATCAGTAGTCGGGTCGGTGACGACCGGCGAATCCCCGGTGTTGTATGTTTTTTGCTTCATTTTTGGTCATTTGCATCTTGGTTTCTTGGTCAAGTGAGATGCCGGGTGCTATATCTCGATAAGTATGGTGGAATCGCCTAGTAATTCGCACTATTTTCTCTTCTTCGCGGGTATGGCTCGCTCTCGCTGGACAGTTTCGTAAAACGCGCCTTGTCAATCTTCTCCCTTAGTAGTACACATCCTAAGTAGCTTTATGTTTAGCTATCGTACATACCACGTCCATTTTTGTATTCTTTCCTAGATCGTCTGATCTAAATAAGTCTGAACTTAGAGGACATCAGAAAGTGTAGCACTTTAATAATTATACGTTGATAAGTTTGTCGATGTGCTTGCTTAATCCTTTCTACTGAATTCATTTTTGGGTAATAGCTTGAGAACGTCTTCTAGGCCCGGCATCTTTCTCATCATGTTCTGTTCATTATCCGCTGTGTTGTACATCTTCTTTCTAGCACTCCGCGTAAACCGGTTCGTCGCAGCAAGTGCCTATATAGATGAATCGTTAGCAGAAACGAAAGCCGAAGTTGAAGCAGCAGAGGCAGCGAAGGAAGCAGAAATAGTGGCAACAGCAGCAGTGATAGAGGAGGCGGCAAAGACGTATCGTAAACATCAGCCCCCCGAAGCGACTTCAACTCTCCTGAAAGATGATACCATTGGCTACCTCATTCGCGTCATCCTGTATGACTTGAAGCACGTCGATGACGACCCTCACTCTAGGTCACGATTATCCCTCATCACTGACCCCCTGTGCATCGGTCCCCCGTATTTTACGCTGAGGCAGGCCGCACAAGTTAAAGGAGCCATCGTAGACACCTATACCCAGAGTCCTAACGACCCCGATTGCCGAAACTATGGGCATAAGGGAGATGTGACCCAATCACATACGGTCGAACGGATACTACAAGGTAAGCGCGCCAAAGCGCTAGGACAGCGATGGGCAGAGGGAATCTTTTAGACCGTGTACGCCGCATAAATGGACTCTTATTTACGAATCTGTCTTTGGTATTTCCCCGGAAGAGTTACAGAATGAGTCATTCTTGCTACTAGTCTGGAATTGGGGTACGCAGATTGACAAGGAGAAAAGTTATATCACTGGCAAACCCCCCGAGCTTATTAGTGAGGGAGGCACTGAGAGAGTTTCGAGTTCGTCCCATCCGGGCGTCTCTACAGAATCAACCGAAGTTAATACGGAAACAAGTGAAGATACGGATGGATCTAGTTCGGCCTACACCGAAGATAGTTGAGGGCCAGCGCCTGGCAAGGACGGAGCTGAGCGAAGTCGCAATTCAGGAACATCAATCTAGTGTAGAGGGTCTTGCCCATATCCACGTTGCCTTTCTTATTCTATGGCATACATACCAGATACTCAGAAGCCTGACAATAGAGTTCTTCAATCGTGCCAACATGCCATCACACTAATGCGTCTCAGACCATTGAGCAACTAAGACGAGGTGGCGTTCATAGAACATACATGTAACGATAAAAAGTTACTTGAGCCTAGGGATTAATGAGCGGCGCGAAAGACCTATGCCAATATCCGTAATATGTTCCTTCTGGCCACTAGATTCCGCTGGCATCGTGACACGAGTATCTTAGCCATCTTCCAGACACGAGAGCCGACTAATCCATCCGAGCCAAAATACCGGTATCTAGCTACTCGCTGGATAGGGGCTGGATTCGATGAACGTCGACCTCTGGTCAAAACACGCCAGATACCCATCATCATTGTGGATAGTATCAGCTAAGTCCATCAAATCGTGTCAGTGACGCGTGTCCATCACAGCTTTGCAGACGAGAAACTTACGCAGGCGTGTTTGTGCCCCAATCATAGTCCCATTGTCTGCCGGGCAGCTGCAGTACATGATACTCGACACGCCGACGTAGCAATCCACACAAGCATCAATCCCCGGGGCCTTGTTTGCGGCCGCGACGATCTTGCCGTCGTCAAGGGTATAGCACCTATCAAGGAGCGCGTAAGGTCATGTAAGCCAGTTTCATGAGGCACAAAGTGTAGAAACATGGTATAGAGCACCACATACTGGCTCAAGTTGAGGGCGGTTACGATCCACATGTCGTAGGCCTCGTTGATACAGAAGCTTCGCCTGAATACCCAGGCGGACCCGTCCCATCTAGGTAGTAAATTGGTGCAGCTGTCGAAGTCGGCCGCAACGCCCTGCGTAAGGACGGCACAGGCCCAAGCGATCGCGATAGCTTTCAATGACATTTTGGAGGCAAGCGTTATACGATGAAAGTAGTAATCTTGTGTCTTCTAACTAATTCTATTCATTAGCATCTTCAAGTCATCAGTCTCTTATATATTCGAATTCTCTATATAGAGTCGTATATACTGTACTTCAGTTGGGCGTGATTCGCTCTTCTCGGCCGATGCGATGTCCTGTCCTAGTAAGCAGACAATTTGAGCATTGTGACACGTCAATAGTTCATTGAATCGGAACGTTTCTCTCAACTCTAGTCGGCTATTTTCTGTAACTCGCATGGCGACGAAATACACTTGTCTATGTGCTGGGCAAAGCTCAACGATTACTAGTCAAGGAGGTAGTCTCAAATGTTACGGTGAACGAGTGATAAGTGACGATATCTCATTCTCTACATCCCTTCGGTCCTTTCTGGGCTATTTTTGGATTGAGGGCATCTGGGCAATGTAACTGTTAGCTACCAACTGTTTATACTTGCCAATTCCGCTGGTCGATGTCCAATGCATTTGGATAGGCATTTTCACTTGGTTTCGACAGACACTTGCATGTCCCTGATTGTCACAAGGTGGACCAAGAAGGCTGGGAAGCAACTGTGTTGTCGCGCAAGGAGCCTCAACCCCTATCTAGCTATAACTACAGACCTATATACCCAAGGCGTCCTTCGTTCCCTGTGAACGCCCCTATCCCGGGATATAGGCCCTTGAGGGCTGACTCCCTGGTATCAGGGATAACTCCCTTCGTACCAGGCACGACTCCATCTGTACAGGCTACTAAGACAACCTTCTGACAGGTAGTTAATGAATAAATAGCTGCTTACAACGAATAGACAGTAGTTGTAGGGTCTAGCAGCCTACGACAGCAGGTGTAAGACTATAACATTGAAGAGATAATACGATATGAAGTCAGCGCCATGATAACATTCTAAAACGAGTCATATTAGATATTATTAAAATGTACAAGGCACCGTTGAAGTTACTAATTACTAGCGACGCCGTAGCTAGTGTGGATGATAGGAGTCATAGTATCAGCCAGGTATGTAATGGAGGAAACATTGAATATTGTCGATAGTAATCCAAATATAACCAATCTGGAGTAATAGGCGGTTGGTATACTAACATACATGTATCAACGCCCACGGCTCAACACGCCCCATACATTGAGATCTTGCTATATGGCTATAACAGTGACCCTTCTATATATCCTACCTACCTAGTATGTAGATATATAGCCTTAGATGCGTAAGTTTAGGGTTCACAACTCATTAACACTTCCCTACTATATATATATTGGCTCGCATTGCGAGAGTTTGTTGAATGATATCACCCGACAAGACTCCACGGAGATCCTCAAATAATTACGATATTTTAAGACAGTATTGAGTATTACCAAGTATCTCAATGTGTAAATCAAAAATTGAGAGTAACCCTTAACATCTAGATACGAAATCTTTAGTAAGTCGTAAAAGTACATAACCAATAAGTATTGGGCCTCGCCATACAATTTATCAACTAAGATCTTTCTGATTCCATCGGATGTGTTTGACGGTGAGCATCTCTCTTCCTTACTAAAAGCTTCGACGAGAAGCTCCCCACAAGCCAGTGCCGTAAGACAAGCCCCTATTGCCTACATCACGAAGGATCGCTCGTCGCCATCAAAGGATAATATGAAACCGTCTATAGTTCGGGGCGGCGCTTCTGAGTCTTCGAAATCGACTATCGCCGTGCCCGCGTATCTCGCGGTATCGAGCTGTCGACACCGGGCGGTTCCAAACGAGCGAGTAATCGTTACAACGACTGCACGTTGAATTAGAGGTATTTGAAATACGCTGCAATGCTACCCAACTTTCTTCCTGCAATTTCCCGGGTAATAGTGACGAAAAGTTCGAAGGTGCAGGAATTAGGCTATCATTCCTCCCTCTGGGGTGGAGTTCTCCCCAACATTGAAGCGGGACGAGTATAGCGGTTGTCTGTCTGCCCTCACTCGTGGGTGAGAGACCCTGCCAAGGCCGGGGTATATAATTGGTCCCTGGCTGGTATGTATATCTCTGGGATCCGATTGATCTGCTGAAGAATATGACGAGCATGAACTTCTGCGTCTTTCTCCACTCCGGTTGCGTGGCCCCCGGCAATCTATGGTGTACATAATGGCACCATCCCGCTTGGTTTATGGTGAGCGATAAAGCTACCCCTGAAAAGACTATAGTATCCAATAGGTGAATCGCTCTAAGCCGAGAACGCACGTGGTAGACCGTCTTATTGCTTTGCAGTAGTCCGTTTCACTTGAGATCTGCTATGAACTAACGTGGCCTTGTCTCCGCCGAGTAGTGCAAGTTACGGTGAGCAGCTATCTCAGCCGCCGCAAGGTAGCAGTGTAAAAGGGGGAGATCCCATTCTATATAGATTTGAAACTATAGAGAGCAATAGGGCCGACAGTAGTGACCAATAGACTGATGGTGAACTGATGAACCGCTTCTATTGGCGCAAGGCTAGGTAGATGAATGAAGATAATGGAGAT